CTCAAAGGACATCTGACCAGAGCCTTATTTGGTGGCCCTTTCCTCAGCTGGAGGGGATCTCTCCTGACTCTGGAAATCTATTGAAACCATTCCCTTCTTTCCTGTTTCTCTTCCCCATATTTGTCAATCAAGTATTTTCATTTTGTTTGGAGGGCTCCTTGGGTAAACTCTTCAGAAATGTCAGAAGAGATGCAGCTCTATTTGTAGTCAATCAAGTATTTTCATTTTGTTTGGAGGGCTCCTTGGGTAAACTCTTCAGAAATGTCAGAAGAGATGCAGCCTCTGACACTCTTTCACAGATACTACTTACCTAGGATTTTAGTTAATGGATAAAATTTCAGTTTTCCATGGTTGACTTTTGGCACTAACAGAGCCTTCCAAAGTCCTCTGCTCTTCCAAAATCTAAGGGAAGTAAGGAAATGCACCTCATAGCTCCCTAGTACGCCTTATTCTTCATGAGATAAGTAACTGGGCAGGTGGTAGAATATTTCACTGGGTCCAGTTTACTGAGAAATAGAATATTTCTTGAAGAAGACCAATTTGACTTTCCTAATAGCTTTAACCTGTACATTTATCCTTCTCTACTTCCAAGAACAACAATAAACAAAAACATGTGCACAACAGGAAAAGTTAAACTATCATATCAAGCATTAAATACTCAATTGGTTCATCACAGGCTCCCACTGCATGTTTCCCCCCTTATCTGTTCCAAAGTAACTTGTGTTCTTGCCTTTATTCATTCTTACATTCATATACTTATGACACACAGTTACTGCTGTGACCTCAGAGTCTGTGGTTTGTGAGTTTAGGGTATCCAGATGCAGTGTTTCCCTAAAGACATTTTTCACCTGTGGTAGAGAAAGCCAAACAGACATGCAGTTACTCGCCATTCTCTGAGGTAAGCACTGTGATGGAAGGGGGCTTTCGGAGGATGGTGATGGATTCTGAGGGAGGCCATGAAAGAAACACAGTTCCTTGTGAGGAGGGCTTAGAGAAGGCATGCCTAGAAGTGATAGTTTTGAAGCTAATACCTGAAGAATGTAGGTCAGGTTTAAGGTGTAGAGGATGAAGGACAGGTCAGAAACAAAACCTCCCCTACCAAGGCAGAGAAGTGAGGCTGGAGGAGTACCCAGCAGTTGCCTAGCAAGAGACTTGTAAACATGTTGAGGAGAAGGACCCTTTTCCTGAGGGCACTGAGGATCCTAAATCCTGGGGATTATAGGAGTATGATGTCACTCTGGCCATGGAATGTATCCAAAGGAAGCAAGAAGTATAGCTGGAGAACTGTTAGGAGGCTGTGGCCATAGAGAAATAGGACGTTACCTGGAAAAAAGAGGAAGCAGCAAATACAATCTGATTAGATTTTTCTTAGTAGTCACTACACAGTGTTGTAAAAGGAGTATATAATACAGTTAGCCGGAGGTGGAAGTATCAGGTCTTCAGGTTAGACATTGTGAAGGAAATAAAAATGGGCTTCAGTAAATCACTAAATGACTCCTCACATCCCCAAATACTGGGCTGTGGAAAGCTGTCTCCCTCCAGCTCTCTCTGAGTTTTCCTGGGTTTTTAGTTAGGTCTGCCCAAAATATCTGTTGCTTAAGGCTTTATGGTGGGTACCTCATGCATCCTATGCTACAGGGATTTGAACTGTCCCCTCTGGAGTCACCCACTAAATCTGTCTGGAGTTTCCTGAACAAATAGTATTCTTGCATCTATCCTGTTAACAGCTTCCTGTGGTTTTTCTTCTGTTGATCATTAGGGACTGTTATTTGTGGCTTCCCATCCTTCCCGAAGACTATGTGCTAGGAAACCAATATAATTGGGTGGGCATGAGGATAGGTAGTACAGATTGAAAAAAAGTGAAAAGAGCCATTTCCAATTTGAATAAATAGAGCAGGATTGGTCCAAATGTTTTATGGGAGAGAACACTAGCAAACAGCCTGTGAGAAATCGGTCACAGTTTAGGGGATATGTTACAAGCAAGATAAATAAAAATGGTCTAGAGTATCAGGCCAAACTCTCATTTTTCATCTCTGTTTCACACTCTTCTCTCCCAGCACAGACTAATCAAAAGAAGCCTCTTCCGCTCACAATTGCTCTGTGTACATTTCCCCCAGATCTGGTATTCACATGAACAACGTGGTTTATTTATATTTCAGCACCAAATTGGAAAGATGACATCATTCATTTACAGTCCTTATCCCATGACATGCCTACTCTCCAACACCTCATTTCAGCAGACACATTTAGGACTGCATACAGCATCTTGTTTAGCTTGTACATTCTTTTATGGGATATAGTTCAAAGGTAGAAATCCTTAGGCTTGTCTCTAGTAAGAAAATAATCTCATAAAATCACAGGAGCTTCCCCAAAGGATAAAGGCATTACGATATTTACAAGAACAGTTATTTGTTCATTTAGTCTCCATTGCTCTTTTATGAGTGAGTCCCTTCCTTCTTGACCATTGCAGGTCTCACAGCTCTCTTCAGGCCCTTAGAATTCTATTTAGAAGAAACAATTCCAGATTTATTAGTTCATGAGTTCAAAAGTACAGTCTCCTGTGAAAACACTGGAATTTTAGGTGTGAACACTGAACTTCAGAATTTCATGATCAAGGGCAGGGAGACTGAGGGGAATCTCAGTCTCAAGTCCACAAGGACCCCACTGCCCTGCTCTTTCTCACAAGCCTAACTTGTCCATTGGGTCTTCTGACACATTAAGTGGATAAGTGAAGAATGGAAATGCTATCAGCTGCCAGAGGTTGCCTGGGATTTTTTATTTAATTTTTAAGTGGATCTTTCCCTATGCTTTTATTGTTTTTATCATATGCATGCATTTTTTTACATCCTCTCTGGGACCTTTCAAATATTGTACACATTTTAAAAGATGGAGTGAATAAATCATGAGACATCCTTTGGCAGGTAGAATTGGGATGTGAGGTGTTTTCAAAACTTAACAGAACAAACGCATTTATGGGAAAGCTATTTCTACCTGTTGAACTGTTTGCCTGTTCTGCTAGCAACAAGGCAAGGGGAAAAAAGCTTAGATTGAAAATTGGAAGACCCAGAAATCTTCATGTCCTATATCAAGAAAATGACTCTGGGGGCTAAAATCTATGCCTCATTTTTCTGGCTGCCAAATGAGAATAGCAGTAATTCCTCCCAGGAAAGTTTCGAGAATAAGATTGTACATGAAAAATACTATAAGAATGCACTATGCTAGGTCCAAAATTCTCTTTATTATTACAGAATTATTTATATTATGTAATAAAACTCTGACTGGTTGGAGGCCTTGCCAGCCCCTGACTTCTGGCTCTCTTAAAGTCCTGATGGCTCGTTATCATCTCCAACCACCAGTGGGACTGTTATGGCAAGTCTCTCAATGTCCTCAACTCTCAGTGACCTTCTCTGCTGAAAACAAGCATGCAGCTCCTCTCTGGCATGGCAGCATCCTTCACAATCATGGCCTTTCATTCTTTCATTCACAAATTACTACAGTATGTTCTGAGAGGTCCTGTGCTAGATTCTGAGGCGAGGCAAATGAATGAAACAACTTCAGGGTCTAATTACAGATGAACAGATGTATCCATGGTCAGAGAACCATCATAAACTGAAGGTACTTGCCACCCAACCCCAAGAGGGGGGTCAGGAAAAGATCCTAGAGAGATGGGAGGTATAGCTTAGTGGTAGAACATGTCCTTAGCATGTGCAAGGTTAAATCTCCAGAACCGAGAGGGAGAGGGGGAGGGAGGGAGGAAAGTTGAGAAGAGGGAGGAAGGGAAGGGGAAAGGAAAGAAGACAAGAGAAAAGAAAAGAAAAAATACTCCTAGAGAAGATGCTATGAGTTAGTGAGACACAGAATTTAGGCTGAGAGAAGCAGTCCTCAGGGGAGGCATTGTAAGTAAAGGACTAGCATGCACAAAGGAGATATTTCTTACAGCAAAGAACAGCCTGATAATATTAGTAATAGCATTTGGTGTTTATTACTCAGTATGTGCCAGGTACCAGTCTGGCATTTGAAGACCTTCATGTCATTTGCTCCTTATAGCAACTCCAGGGAGGGAGCCCTGATCACTCCCAGTTTGGAGCTAAGGGAGTTGAAGTTTATGAACAGTTAACTCTCTTATGATAACCAGCAAAGAGGAGGAGCAGCTCTTGAATCAGGCAGTCCTATCCCCAAACCCACATTTCACGACTCTGGGCTAGCTAATTTCATCTGCTTTTTCTCATGATCTTAAGGCATTTGTCTAGCTGTTGTGGACCAGTTAAATCAATTCATCTTTGGTCCATTTCTTGCCCTGCCTAATAAAGCCATACAATTCTATGGCCCTGAGGGATTTAAGTATGATACCTAGTTGCCTCACATGACAAACATCATGGGGTATAATTAGAGTGGTCAGCTTCCATTGGCTTTGTACCTTTTGCTCAATTCCCTCAAGGAACAATGTCACTTAAAATGTCCATAGAGAGCCCTTTCCCAAGAAGTCATTATAGCATATATTATCATCAGTAGTTTTGCTTTTGGAAGCTTTTGAATGGATTTCCCTGTCTTGTCTTGTGAGACCATTGTTTGTCTGTAGTTCTGCGTCTTCACCCAGCTCTCTCCCATCGTTGCTTCCACGGCTTCTTTCCCTGGCTTGCTCTAGAGTGTAGAATGTTACTGTTGGCACTTTGTTTTCACATGCTTACTCTGGATTGCTGTGATTGCTTGATAATGTAGAACAAAGCCCCTTAGTATATGCCCATTTGTTTCCCTTGTAAATCATATAGGGAAAGTTTGTTGACATCTGCAGATGTCACATAGTAGCTTCAAGGATGTGACACAGCCTCTTTCATCAATGCTAATGGCACAGTTCTTTCTTTATTAAGTTTCAGTTTGACTAGAAATAAGAACTTCTGGGTTAGGAATAAAGGAACTTAAAGGTGCTGTCATTATGCCCCGAATTTCTTTGGCTGGTCCTCTAGCTCCTGATGGAATCTTCCGGTTTTTGTTCTGCATAGACCCAAAACCGAATGAAGCTGATGGCAGACAACTATGATGAGGACCATCACCACCACCACCACCACCACCATCACCACCACCACCGATCTCCTGGGAGGTCACAACATTCCAACCACAGGCCCTCTCCTGACCAGGTCAGTCTCATCGCCCTTACCTCCAGAACCCCTTTTACCCTTTGGATATTTTAAAATAAAATAAATAATCCTCAAGAAATAATAAACAGCATAAAGTGATACGTTCTTTGAACTGAAACTAATAGCTTTGGTATTTATTTCCATCACTCAAAGAATCTAAATGTTTTCCTTTCTCCTTCCTCTTTAAGGTTTTGTCTTTTCTTGTTTATGTTATGCATTTTATTTCCTCCCCTCCTTTCTTCTTTCATAGATATGTAGTCTGTTGCTGGCTAGGTATCTAATGGTGGGTTACTTTGGAATGTCTCTTTCCAAGTTTTAAAAGAAAGCACTTTGTTTCCATGAGCTTGGCAACCAGAGAGCCTTGAGTTTGCTGAGCACTTTCCTAGAAAATTCCTTAGTGATGCAAATTAATGGTGGGGTAAAACAACAAGAAGAGATATCCATTTTGTTGGCCTTTTAACCAGTGAAGTCAAGGAGTCTGGTTTATTTGACTTGGACCCTATCTTCTCCCTTGACTAAGTAAAGCAAGTGAAAAGATGGATTTACAAAAATAAAACCGGCTTGCATTTTTCAACTGCTTTCACAGTCACCCACCAAACGCAAAAACTACATATAACGTTTAGTATTTAATACTCTCGAAAATGAATCTTAAGTAAATTAGGAAATTAAATGCAGACTATCAGAATTATATAGTCAATTTTAGCAGTGTTTCTTCCTTTACTGTACTATAACCTTTTCTGTGTGTGATTGTAGTGTAACTTACACAATAAATTCCAGTATGGGTGGGACATTAGGCAAAGACACAGAACCATCTGTGTGGTTCTATGTGAATGCCTTTCGACATAGGAGGGAAGGGCTTGATAGAATTATCTGTGTGAAGAGGGCCTTGATTGTTTACTGGGGATGGAGGAGCTTATTACGTTCATAAAACTTTTTTCTGATGACTCTGTTTTTTCACCTAATGTCACTCACATCCCAGAGAAGTTAAGATTTAGTCTTCAAGATGTTGTGCCAGAATCACAGCTCCATGGGGAGATTGAAATCTGAAGCATTTGTCCTTAGAGACCCCAACACTATGAAAGTTGTCTTTGTAGGACATTTAGATTTCTGAAGCCATGTGCAGAAGGACACCAATAATTGCTTTTAGCTCTCAGAAATGGCTCTTGATTTGGAGATCCTGAACATAGAGAAAAGATTAGTTTTGTCATTATTTTGTATGTCTGTGTTTCTTGTTTTGTTTTTATTCTATTCTCGCCTCTACCACCACCACCACCTACCTACATTCATTCACCCCAGCATATTGGGCATCCTGTAACTAAATAACTTTCTTCACTCTCATTCTTGGTCCTTTGGCACACTGCCCTTTGCTTCTTGGCATTCATCTTTGAAGGGTCAGGTGAGGTCCTATTGGTGAGAGGCGTGCAGACCTTCTTTGGCTACTTTTCTCAGCCACATACATGAGGAGGCCACTCTGGGTTTCCTATCTCCCCCCAAAGAGATGTGAGTAGAGAGTACTGACGGGGGAGGGGGGGCAAGAACTGGGGACCAAATTAGAATAGATTTCACGAGGACCTGCTGAGATAAACAAACTGTCCTGTCTCAGCACAGAAGGCACATATCCTAATATATACTGCTGGAAATCATCACTAGATCATATTTATCTGCCTTGCAAATGGTATTTCTGCTTTCTCAGAAATCTGTAATCACAAGCTAGAGCACCTTTCCTACTCAGTTGGCCCTGTTATGTTTGTCCACAGGCACTAGACATTGTTACAGGGTGGAAATGACTATGCAAGGGTGGGGCCCTTCCTAGAAGTGTTAGCATTCCTTGAAGAGTACCTGGCCAAGGCATGTTGCTGAGACCTTTGGCACACCTTTCTTATACTGCTGTTAGGAGGTAGTGATGGTCTTCCACTTTTCTATCTACCACCCTCAGTGACATACTAAGCAACCCATGGACAGGAAGGGAGGTAGCCTCACCCCTTTTGTAGGTCAGAAATTCATGCTCCAGGAGGAGGCAAACTGGTTGGAATCCTGCTGTTAGTTATTTGCTTTGTCAGCTAATACCTGCGTCCCAGATTCCGTACCAGTCCATATTCAGAACTTAGAGATGAGCTAGACAGGCAAGACAGCCCTGCCTGCAGGGAGCTTGTTGTCCAGTCCTAGCACAAGAATACAGGTCCCCTTGTGTCTAGTTCAGTTCTTTTCTGGGTCAGGTCAATTAGAATAAGACAGACAAAAAGGGAGTTATAACGTAACTAGGGGTCCATTCATGGCAAAAATGAAATGCCCCTTGTTCAGAAGGGTGAAATTGGAGTGACAAAGGCTGTCAGGCTCGGTTGCTGCACCCTTTCAAGTAAAGGAGAATTAAGCGAGGAATGTTGACATGAGATTCAGTTGGCTCCAGTGATGAAAATGACTTGATTTTCTGGCCCAGACATCCTTCTAGATTGGGTAGTCCAGGTCTAGGAAATGATTCTCTCCCCTGCACTGGAGACTTGAGATTCAGTAACCAGCAAGCTACAGATTTGTTTATTCATTATTATAAAGCTCAGTCCCAGAGGAAAACCATTATTAAAGGGTAGGAGGTCTTTCCCAGTTGATTACAAATTCTATACATTAATGTGTAAGTCATGTATGCTAATATATGTGGGATGGAGATACTTAGGAGAAAATGGCAGCTCTATATGGGTATATGACAGCCAAAGAGTTTTTATAGTGCTTTAATTTGGATGGGTTTCCAGCTAAATGTATCCATTATGTTCCCATAATTGCTGACCCCCTTCCTATGAATCTTCCAGCCCTGGCCTTTCTAAGGTCCTCAAGTTAGCCAACAATGTCTTCTGGACATTTCTACAAAATGTTGATGTTGCCTCCTGAGTTTTATTAAGAGATCAAAACACATGGAAATGAGGAACTGTGAAACATCAGTCACTTTGCTACATTTCCAGAAAAAGTCATTTTTCCTTAGGAAATTCAAGTATTGCCAGGCACTTATGTATGGAATTACATTCTTTTTCCACATCTCCCCTGTCCCTTCTCTTTTACTATGATTTTGATTTCTCCTTGAGAGAAGCTGAATCCAAGTATTATAAGTCCACACTAGCGTTTCCCAAAGTAACTTTTAGAACATTAGTCCCATGAGGGAAGTCTTGAGACAAAGATTCAGAGGGCAAAGAATTTTGGGAAAGTGCTGTGTATTTTAACATTATCTTCCAGCATCCTGGTGCAATTAGCAGATCAAAGGATCTAAAAAGTCATATAAGAAAAAAAGCTATCCAATTTTATTTAATCCAGCATTTCCCAGATTTATTTGATCATGGATTTTTTTTCTTTTCTAGTAACATCTGTGCTTTGAGAAATAGTGTTCTCAGAGTATCAGGTGAAAAATGAGACTACCTAGCTTAAAACAAGACCGATTTGGTTTCCAGCAGTGTTTTTCATCAAGAGATCGAGTTTTAGGCAGTTTGCCCAATAATTGCTTAACAGAAAATGAAAGTGCCTCTTCCGTTCATTTCCCGAGATAACCTTCTTAAAAGCTGTAACACCTGAGAGTGAGTTAGCCCAAGAAGCCAGTAAATCTCAATTAAGGTAGCCTTTAAGAATGAGGACCCAGGAAATAAAGGACAGTCATAATTGCACAGCCTGTTAGGTATCACAAAGGAGTATGAAGACGAGACTGACAATTTGGTGGAGTTGTCAGAGAAACCAGTACAGTGTTGAGGTCTGACAATCTAGCCCCCTACCTGAGTTAACAGACAGAGGCTTGTGTCTCCTCCCCCAGAGTGGCTACAACCATTGAATATGTCCAAGTAGACCATCCAGACAAATCCCAGTATCGACTTAGTAAACCCTTCAAGCAAAGAAGTTGTCACAAGGGCAGACAACAAATGTTTCCCATGATACAATGAAGGCCAGAGTAAATGGAACCTGCTAGAGACACATTAATGATTTGATTTTTTATTGAGGTTACCAAGATTGATTTTTTAGGGGGAAGGGGGTGTAGGGTCCTGGAGTTTGAACCAGGGCCTTGCACTTGCTAGACAGGTACTGAACCACTTGAGCCATACCTCCAGCCCTTTTTTCTTTTAGCTGTTTTTCAGATAGGGGCTCACTTTTATTTTTTTGCCTGGGTCAGCCTTAGATTTTGATCCTCCTTCCTATGCCTCCTGCATAACTGGGATTATAGGCATATACCGCCACATACAAAAGAGAAAAGTGTTTTCTTATTAATGTACATTAATAGTACAAGGAGGATTCTTTGTGATAATTCCATAGACTGACTTGTTTTTTGAGATAGGTCTTGCTAACTTTTTTGCCCAGTCTGGCCTCAAACTGTAATCCTCCCATCTCTGCCTCCTGGGTAGCTAGGACCACAGTTGTATGCTACCACACCTGGCCTCACAGGATTGATTTTACAAAACCAAGTTGAAATTCATGTTCTCCTAAATGCCTTCTAAACCTATCCTCATCAGCATCTTTTCTTACTTCCTTTAAATATTAGCCTTCCCTGCCTTAAAGCATGTCAATGATAGCAAGCATTTCTACCTTCCTTTTTGTAGGCATCGTGTATCTTTTATTGTCCCAGGAAAAGTACTATTTAATAAACTCCTTCTGTTAGCTCTCAGATATGCACTAACCCCATCAGTAAGAAAACTAAGTGTCAGAGTGAGCTCCACACTCCAGCTAAGCACTGCTAGACCAGTCCAGGCTATCCTTTATGTATGTAGGAGTCACATTTCTTTCCCAGGTGTTGGGTTGGGTGTTAGGTCTTTAAAGGTTCTATATCTCACTGTTTTTTTGTTTTTTTTTTATGAAAAATGCATCTGCATTTGTTAAATCCCCTGTCATTCCAGTTCTCATTAGGGGAACTAAATGGCAAAGATCCTAAACATTTTAGAATTGGAAACTCTGGAGTATGTAGCCCCTTTTGAAGAGCAAAAGAGAATCCTTGTTTCTTCTCCCTTCTCTGTTGAATGCAAGTGCCGCTCACAGGAATT